CAGAGATTATTTACCCGATACAAATATATTTTAAATAGGCCATTTTTCGAGTTGCCTTTTGCCTCTGTGTCAAAACGAGTCTACGTGCCAAACCATTCATATGAAACAACTACCCCATATTCCTGTCACAGCGTTTTCACAGACCGTTCTATTTTTAGTTTGGATGTACCGCAAATTCAGACCCCGGCAGGAACCTCAGTGACCAATCACAAGCACGGACTTTATTTTTAACTGACGTCATCATTACACCGCTAGATTAAGTCGACCTGTCCACCTGGGACCGCCATTTTCTGCTTTACCGATGCGCGCTCATGTAGACCGGAACTGACCTATTTCGCCTTGACATAGGCTGAGGGTGCGTTCGTTTGGGGTGATCTGGATCAGGATCAGTGATCCAAGATCTCTCTGGATCATGGTGCATCAAAGGAACCGATGAATCCACTGGTCATGGATTCATTGGTTCCTTTGATGCACCATGATCCAGACAAATCTTGGATCACTGATCCTGATCCAGATCACCCCAAACGAACGCAAACTTAGTGCGAGAGTTGCAGGCAGTTAGAGATGGGCTCCTGGGGTCCAAGGTAACTCGGAAATGGTCTACTACATGATCGCCTCTAAATTCAACAAAACATTTTTCACATAGATGTTTATAAACAAAAAATATTGTTAAATTATACCAATGTCTTTAGCTGAACATAAGTATAAACGATTTTGTGAGAAATCAATTTTGCGTTTTACATATAGATAAGTTTATTCTAGATATGGAAAGGAAAACGGATACACAGTAAACACGCCCCGAAAAGGAAACACGAGGTTAACCCTATAGTTTTCCCTTAAATAATAATGTAAAAAATACGTTATATAAAAGCTATGGTGAAAATGATGTCAAAAGATACAATGTCTCTAATTTATTATTTGCAACTAAAGAATGATTTAAACCTTAAAATGAAAAAGCTTAAGAATAAGCATTATTTACATTTTAAGAAACGTTTTCAAATTTGTTGAAACGGAGTCAGTTAATTTCGTAGTTATTCTATCAGACATCAAGAAAGCTAAAAATATACACGCCAATTAAATAAAGGATAATTTTTTTGATGTGGTTTTTCTGATTGATCACGTGTGTGAATTAATAACAGAGTTTTGGCTTAAATCAAAATACACATGTACAAAGATGTAAGCGAGATGTAAGCGGAGAACAAGCAGAAACAAGGAGTTTAACTAAAGGAAAGTAAGCGTTATCACCGTGACTCCAGTGGTTCCATCTCTTCCATTCAGGCCACGTCCACCAGGTACTCCCTGTGAGTTTAAACAAAAAGCCCATCAAGATCTCCGTTACATACCAAGCAACAGTTGAGTTTTAAGATTCTTCAAATACCATAGTGCAGTGGTCCTGAATGATGCGATGAATTCCTCTCAAATGAATTTAAATTTAATGAGAACGTTAGTGTTCTTACAATTGTTGTCGTTAAATGTAGAGGGCTGCACCAGGTCAGCTTCTGTGAGGGGTCTAATGAATATCAATATGTGCCGCGTTGAAAGACGCTTGGCTAATCTGAGTGAAGCGGTACGTTCTAGATGTTATCATTCGACGTTTTACTTGTTATCATCTCTACAGATCATCTTAGCCTC